ATTCACGTTCACACTAGTACGTGGTGTGAAATGTGCACTAAGAAGTTCTGCATCTAGCTTTCTAACCTGGGTGTGCCTTCCTTCTTCCTGCAGTGCCCCCCACCCCACCTCCTACAAAACCAAATGCCCACAGACCTGGCTCCCCACTTCTTCCTGCGGTGCCCCCCACCCCCACCTCCTACAAAACCAAATGCCCACAGACCTGGCTCCCCACTTCTTCCATCGACCTACAAATAGCCCACATGTGGATCTCTCTCCTCTCTTCATCACTCTTAGAGCCCCAAACACATACAGGTGGAGGACTTTTTTGAGTTCCCAGGAAAGGCAGGGCCTTGGGTAGGGGGCAGGGTCTCCGGCCTCACAAGACAGACATTCTGTTCCATTGCATTTTGGGGAACGCTCCAAGGAGACATGAATGAATCTATCAACACCTCGTGACAACTGAAGCATCTCAGGGAAGGCCGAGGGCCTGGCAGCCCTTCACACGTTTTGTGGATTCACCCCAGTCAGGTTCTCGCCTAATAATTCCTGTGCTCCTGATTTCTGGCATGAATTCGGAGGAAGGTAGTTAGGGCCCCAGGCTTAGACACGAGAGTAGTTTGAAGCAGCAGAAGAGCAAAAGAGACAATCAGTGGGAAGGGAAGGCCTAGCTTAGGTGGAGGGCAGGTTCTCCCTAGGACGAACCTGTGTGTGGAGGGAAGCTAAGTCTCGCCTGCTCTATCGTTCCACCGATGGTTTCCTGTCCCCAAGGCTTCTGTAGCTGGTACCCAGGAAATGTTTCTTTGAGCAAGTTTCCAGCATCTTGTGTCCAGATGGATGGGATGACCACCACTCACCTGTTAGTTGAGGACCACTGCTCTCATCCGAGCTGCAGGTGATGGAGGCCTGATAAGGTCTGCTCCTGGTATTTATTCCACTGCACATGCCCCTACGTTGATTCTGGTGCCTGGGCCTGGAAAATGATATGCCAGCCCACCTGCCACAGTAGTGGGTTGGAAGCGCCTGCTACCTTCTTGAAATGTGTCACAGATAAAAACCCAGGGTCCCCCTGGAGGAGGACCAAGGAGTCCTGGCTTATGCACAGAGAAGTTCCCCAGCTGAGCTGTCAGATGATTGAAATTATGTGAGTGGCCTCCTAAGAGCCTAGCCCAGGTTGCAGAACCAGAAGCAAATTTGTGATTGTTGTGCCAGTGCACTACAGCATGCTCTCGCCGTCTCATTAACAGCATGAAGACAAGAAGAACACATTGTTACCTATACATCACCCACCTTACAGGAAATTTGAGCCGTTTTATGAAGCCTGCGGCCAAGTTCAAAAGAGCCCTAGGGAAAACAGCCGTTCACATCAAGGCAAGCCTTAGAGTGTCCGGGCCTGGGTGCCGATGCATGGCTATTTCAGTATATCCTTTGGACAAGAGTCGGGCAGAAAACAATATCAAGGGCAAGTTAGGGCACCGTGTTGCTATATCCAGATTCTCTCTAAGGTTAGGGGTCTATCCTAATCCCATGAGGGCAGGCAGTAGTGTCAGCTAGGGAGAATGAGCATCTTTTGTGCTGATTTGTCACGCCTGTGTTTGACCAAGGGCCTTCCTTGATCTCTTAGCCTTTGGGATCCAAGGCTCCAAGAGGACACTTTCCGTAAGCAAAATGCTGCCATCATCATAACACCACGAGGCTCCGTGATTTTCATGGAAAATGAGTATGAATAGCTTCCTTCTATCCCCCTGTCATAAACCCCCGTTCAGATAAGTAGTAGTGAACCCAGAGGGCATCAGAAGGGCCTCCCGGCTGGGTTCTGCCTAGGCAACCCCCTCGGCCTCTCTCTACTTCGTTTCCCATTCACTCACTCACTCACTCATGCATGCAACAACTATTCATTAAGGACCAGTGGTGTGCCAGGCATCTGCTTGCTCCTGAGGCTGCAGTGGCGAGCAGAACACACGGGGTCCCGGGCTTTGTGGCCCTGCCCTGTGCCCCCATACAAACCCATAGAGTAATACTTGGTGACAGCTAAGGTTCATTTTAGCTCCTAGACAAGCATTCTGTGGAACTAGGTCAAAGTAATAGTTAGAAGTGGGACTGGAAACGTTGATTGTTCTGAATCCTTTCTGGAAGGAGAAGGCAGGAGCTCTCTCTGAGCCCCCACCACCTCGCTTCTTTGCTCTGCCAGGAGGTGAAGGCTCCGTTCATCCTGAATCTCAAGGCTGTGTTGTTGCCTGGACCTTCTATGTCAAAGCATCTCCTTGGCTTCCTCAGAGTCTGGACACCTTTCCTCCTGCACTGCAACTCTCTGTAGAGGATCCACTTAGCCCGAGTCCAAGGGCTTGGTTGAAAGCCGAGCCCGTTTCAGGACTCCAGGCTAAGCGACACATGTCTTCACCCAAGGGCATCGTGGTCTGAGGACTCGTGGTGCCGCATCCAGTGGCCCCTGCTATCGTTCGGTGCCCTTGAGGCCAGTTCATAGGAAGTCCATATTAGAGCCCATTGTGGCCGCCTCCGTATGGGTTCATCTAATTGAAGGTCGTCTTCTTTTGCTGACCCTTCTTCAGAGGCCAGTCCCGCATGATCCTATGTTCAAAGTCCATGAAATGCTGTCTTGCCATCCTCGCTTCTAAGGAGCATTCTGGCCTGTGCTTCTTCCAAGACAGAGCGGGGCCCTCGCCCTGCACTTTCGGGGGTGGTTCTGGATGCAAGCACACGACCTCACTCATGTCTCCACACGCACCGGGTGCTGCTGTGTCTCAACTGTGCGCTCGGAAGAAGTGGCCACTAAGCCACATATCTCTGACCTCCCCCTAGTGAACACTGGGTTGTGTCTGGGAGTGTGTTTCGGATTCCTTTTAAGCAGAGAGCAGAATCGTGTATGTCTCTCCTTAAGTGTGAAGTGCACAGAATCAGGTCTCGCGGTAGGACCCCGAGCTTAGGCTTTCCGATATGCGTGTTTGTCCACGTAGAAAAAAGTTCAATATTCAATAGGCCAAGCTTGGTGCTGTCTTCCTACATCAGCATTTGGTGGGAAATATGCTTCCTTTGGGGCCTGCCATGCTCAGCTCCCCGACCCGTAGTGCCAGGGGCTTCGTTTCGGTAACACTGACGGGAAAATGGGAGACTTCACGTTAGAACAAAACTACTGAACATGAATAGTCAGTTAGTTCAAGGACTCGCATGTTGATTCTTGCTTAGAAAAGATGAAAGTTTGTGGCTGTCGCTCTTAACACCAGTTTCAGATACATCTGACGCACGTGGCTCTCAGATTTCTAACCTACGGCTGATGGGAGCCCTGGTGGTGCAGTGGGTTCAATCTTGGGGTGCTATCAAGGTGGTGGTTCAAAGCCACTCGATGTTCCGGGGGTAGAAGACAAGGCAGTCTGGTTTTGTAAAGAGCGACAGTCTGGGAAATCCTATCAAAACAGCTCTCATGGGGTGCTGTGAGTTGGAAAGGGTGTGAGCTCAGGGGCCCTAAGGTGTTACTTCTAAGCCAAGAACAGAATCATGTATGTTTCTCCTTACGTGTAAAGTGCACTGAATCACGTGATGCTGATAGCTCTATCTGTAGGACCCCGAGCTTAAGTGTTCAGATAGGCATCTTTATACATGTAGGAAAAGTTCAATATTCACTCATCAATAGGAACATTTAGGATATTCCAATTCCATGACAAATGTTAGTGATTATGCGGCAGCATAGTCAGAAGAAAGGAGTAGGCATCCAGCAATGCTACGCGAAGGAAGGGCTCAGAACACAGGTGTTTGGGGTTCAGAGAAACAACTGCATTCTTGCTCAGTGAATTAGTTAATTGTGCCAGCCTGGCCGATAATCACATGTGGGGCTGGTTGAAAGGCGGAGGGATAAATGGGTGGTGAAGCCTCGCCTTTCTAGTTCTCGGGTCTCTTGTTTTGTGATGGTTGCATTGGGTGCAGCTGCCTTAGCAGTCCCCTGCTTCAGCTTGCAAGATGGATTTCCTACAAGACATCCCCAAGGAGAAGCCGCATGGATCTATCCCGATGCAGCCCTGGGTGCTGGAGCAGCCGTGTGGAGACCCTTGCCAGTGCTGAGATGCTTACACGTTCACTGACTCAGCTTTCCTCCTGCAGTCGGCATTATTGCCTCTGTTTTGTGAGGTGGAGGACTTTGTGGACTGGTGTTGGGTATGGGTTAATGTTGGACTTGTGGGCTTGGGGAGCATTGGGTTGGGATGTTTTCGTGATGCACATTTTCTTTGTATAAAACTCTCTCTTATACATGAGTCGCTGTGGATTTGTTTCTCCAAAGTACCTAGACTATTACACTCAGCCTGAGGGGAGCTGCCATCTGAGGGACTGAATCTTTGGGGGAGTGTTTCGAACACTCTTCACGTCCTTCGAGTAGAGGAGAGGGGAGAATGTGACTGCCGCCGCGACTTTCATCCCAATGCTGCCCTGGGAGGAGGTACAGTGATTTGAGAGGTTTCTCTATGAGCATCGCCTCTTTCCAGGCATCGGGCCAAGGAGAATGCTCATCCTGCGTGCTCACGCCTGTCAGATGGGGCTCCGGAGAGGGGGCAGCACGGGGAGAAGCAATGCCGGGAGGGCTGGGCACTGGGCAGAAGATGGGCGCTGATTTCAAACCAAGATGAATTCAAGCTCTGGGTGTCCAAGGATGGACCAAATGACTGAGATCAGCCTCAGATGGCTCAGGAAACCCACAGTGAGAGCAGGTGTGTGTGTGGTGGGTGGGGGGTGAGTTGTACCTGAGATTTTCTGGGGGAAATAGTTTTGCCTATCGTCACTGGCCGTATGGGGTCACCAATAACAGTTAACTGCTCCATGTGCAAGATCCTTCCACTGGGTGTGCACAGCACTGGCACCCAGGCCAGGCTGGAACCAGGCAATCTGGCTTGGCCTGGCTGGGCTTGGCCCTACATTCAGTTTTGCCATTAGCTCTGCACTGAACTAGTGCGGTGGAGCACCCTTGACCCCTAGAGGGTACCCAATTCTCTATGATCACAGTGGCTCAAACTTACCTACAGCCAGATGTCACAGCTACCCTGCAAAGAGGTGGGTGGCCAGGAGAGATCAGGAGGACAGTGGATGGCACCTGGGACTGAGCCCGAGGGTCTGCCCTGGCTTTGCCTTGGGGATTCTGCTGGGCCATGGGAGCTGCTGATGGTGTCAAGAGAGGGGAAGGGGCTCGGCCGTGGGGCCTGGGGTGTAGGGTTGCTCAGGTGACCAGTCTGGTGCCAAACCCCTCGCACCCCTCTTGCTGACCTGAAAGGCTCCTGGGTCTGTAGCCCCCCAGGCACCCACTGCTGCTGCTCGGCGGCTGACCTCGGGCCCGCACTGTGAGAGCCCCATGCGGCCGAGGGTCCACTTGGAAGTCCCTGGGAAGGCCAGGCAGGGCTCCCTGAAAGCTGGTCCACTCGCAGAGGAGGTGGTGGAGATTCTGCAGGCCCAGGGGTTTCTTCTGGGGTCCCTGGTGCCCTCTGCCCCAACAGGAGCTGCCCCCTGCCTGAGTTGGGAGGAATGTCTCTGGCTGGCCGTGTCCACGGAAGCCAGGTGTCGACCACCCACGGGTGGCTGCAGGGGTCAGGCTGTGTCTGCCCTGTTCCCTGCCCTGCCCCCACCTCCATGGGGACTACCACTGACTGGCTCTGGGCGGGAGAATCCCAGATGCTGCCTGGGAGATGAGAGCCACAGGGGCTGACACAGAAGGAAGTGTCTGAGGTTATCAGCGACTCCTGACATTGACCTTTGTGAATGGATGGCCGAGGCACAGGTTCTTGGCAAAAATCCAAAACACCAGGAGCCGGCTGAGCCAGGTGCCCAAGGACACTCTCTCCTACAGGGAGTGAAGCTTCATAGCTCGGCTCAAACATCTGGACAGAGCGCCTGGGGCTGGGGGTTTTGGGCAGTGGGCTGGTCACAGCTCTCTGGTCAGTTAGGGTTTGCTCCCGGCTCATGCCACAGTTCGTAAGTGCTGTCTGACTGTTGGGAGGCCTCTGCTGTGCTGAGTTTCGAAGGGGACTCTGGAGTGTTGTGTAGGGGCTGGTGGGTCCAGAGCCATGGAAACACTGGAGATGGGCCAGAGGGTGTCTGGGCCCAGTGCCCATGTTTTGAGGTGGGGTTACCTCCATGGGGAGATGGCCCAAACTCAGAGAAGAATGAAGCCTCAGGGTCAGTGGAGGAGCCGTGCTGGCCGGTGGGGACAAGCTGACGTGGGTGTCTCTTGTCTGGCTGGATGGCAGTGGCCAGCAGTTCTGAGGCCCTGCTGGGTCTGAGTCAGCCCCGAGAAGAGTCTGCTGGTCAAGGTCAGTGACCCCCAGGTGCTGGAGGGTGAAGCAGAGGTCTGGCTGGCCTCCCGTGTCCTTCTCCAGCAGAGTCTCAAGGAGGTTCTGCAGGGAGTCGCCTTCCTTCCCAGCTTCCCCCTCCCTGTCCTGACGTCTCTCGTCGCCAGGCCCACACTGATCCAAGCGTGAACTTTGCAGGCCCGCGGCAGTGTGGGGCAAGTACATGGACCAATCTTGCTGCATGGTGGCTCCGAGCAGGGATCCTGGATGTACAGGGCCCTGGTCAGTGGGAGGGCCCTTCCTTGCCCTGGACCGCTTCTTGGTCGGGAGCGTGGTCAGGAGGCCTGGGCAGCTGCTCTCGTACAGGATGGCCTCCCCCGTGGTGAAGGTGAAGGGTAGCTGCAGGGCCCGCTTTCTCAGGTGCTCCTCCCCCTCCGTGTTCCTGTGGTTAGAGACACACACGAGAGTTACCTTCGGGGACACGGCACTTCAGGGAATCACACTATGAGTGAGAGCAGGGCCTCGAGCCTAGGGGACAGCAGTGACCAACTGGCTGACCAGGTGAGCAAGAGGCAGAACCTCATCCCTTTGGCTTTTCAGCAAGAGGAAGAAGAGAACAAATCCTGAAATTGAACTAGCTTCTCTTTTGCATTTTGTGTGTGGGTTGGGGGGGGGAGTATACAATTCTTGGGTCAGGTATTTCAGATTCTGAAATTTGCTTCCTTGTATGATGTGATGAATCCTCCAAAACTTTATTTAAAATACAAGACCCCCAGACTTCAAAGTTACTTCAAAAAGAATAAATCATTACACAATTATAAGATGATGGGCGCGCGCGCACACACACACACAGCCCTCGTAGTGCTATTGGGTAAGCTTTGGACTGCTGACTTTATAGTCCTGGAAATCCTAGATCAGTTCCTCATACATCAGGATCGACATGATGGTAGGGGGGAATATGTGTCTGCTTTTTGTTGGAGAAAAGAATGTTTTCCTTCCCTTTTCCTCTCCCTCCCTCCCAACAGATCCTGGGATGTGGCTGCTATCAGGTTGCCCAAAAGTTGTGTGACACTAATCCATGGGAGTTGGGACCCTTGCTTTGCTGACTTGACCACAGCTGGAATCCCATCTGGGGCTTGGAGCCCCAGCAGGAAAATGAACTGAACCAGAGTAGTAGCCTGGCTAGTGTGGGCCCACTGGAGAAGTTGGGTTGTCCGCTACCTGATCCCAACAGAGTGCTTGCAGTCTTCTGATGCTTACTGTTGGTACTGCCATCCAGCTGTGTCTGTATATTAAAATGTATGTCTTGTAGATGACCTATGATTGAGCTCCTTTGAACCTGGTAAATAAATCCCTTTGAACAATCTCTATCATTTAATGGGAGTAGTTTGTTGGCTAACCTTTAACATAATCATTGAGGTGGTTCAATTTGCGTCTTTTATTTTGCTATTCCCTTTTCACATGTACAACGTTTTGTTCCCCTCCTCATCTCTGCTTATTTTTTTTTTAAAAGAAATCCATTTTTCACTTGTTTGCGGGGTATCTGACTATGCCTTTTGCATTCCATATTTTTTGTGGTTGCACAAACACAATTACAATACGTGCCTTTCACTGTTCACTGTCTACTTCGAGTGCATCACACGAGACAGCGCCATCTGTGGACCCGGCACTTGTCCCTCAGTCAAAGTTTTCATACAGAGCACATCCACATGTTATGAAGTCCACACTACAAGGTCATTTGGGGAGGCTTTAAACAAGCCTCGTGGTCAGGAGGCCTGGGCAGCTGCTCTCGTACAGGATGGCCTCCCCCGTGGTGAAGGTGAAGGGTAGCCACAGGGCCCACTTTCTCAGGTGCTCCTCCCCCTCCGTGTAAATCACATGTATTTTAAGGAAAGGGAAAATAATCTTTTATTTGAAGGGCTTCAAAAAGTCCATGGGAAAATGCCATGATGTTATCATTCCATTGGTCCACGAGAGGACATGGAAGAGGGAAGAGGGAAACGCTAGTCTTCTGGAAATGAGTGGTGGCTAGACGCTCAGCATTACCCAGTCACACCTGCCACAGGAGCTGCGATCAGCCTTCCACACCGAAAAGAGCCTACAAGTTAATTGCTGCTTTTGTCCCACCAAAAAGTCACAGCAGAGGCAGGTGAGCAAAAGGCATGGAAGGCAGGCTTAAGGAAGCCATCTCTGTAGAGAGGTGCAAAGTCCCGTTTCTTCAGAGGGCAGTGGAGGATGCAATTACCTTTGAATATGGTTAATGGAAAAGTCTAGATTCAGAATTTGAATTCTGGGCACGTAGAACCAGGAAATTCTCTGTAATTTGGAATCCAACACTTTAATAACTGCAGCTATTTGGGCGCAGGTTAAAAAGGAAGTCTATCTGAGAAATCAGAAGCAACCAAGATCATGTTGGTATCCACACCTCCACCCAACCCACTGTGTTGAGCCGGTTCTGTCATGGAGGCCCTATCTTTGGTCCAGAGGCTGAGGTTCTGTACGGGAATGAGACAGTCTCATTTTTCTCATGGATCGGCTGTGGGTTTGAACCGCTGACATCAGCATTAACACAGCAGAACCCCGGTATTTGACAGCATCGGATTTCGACTTGAAATGCTGAGAACATTTTGCATCGGAGCTCAAACAAAACGTCGGAATCCCACCCGACACACGTGATGTTTGTAAACAAAGCAGTTGATATTTTGGTCACTCAGCATTAGTTGGCGCCGTTAGTACGTGCTGTTGGAACCTTTTTACAGCTGTGTTCCAAGCGTTTTGCTATAATTTTCTTAGTTTTTGTGGCTTTTTGTACTGCTTTTAGATAAAAAAAAAACATGGGTCCTAAGAAAGAGTTTTTTGAAAAGAATCATCATGATATGGAACTGGCTAATCCTGTCATCGATATTGTTGATAATTTAGTAAACCCTTTTAGAAAACAGTTAAGGAAACGCCAACAGCAGACTACATTAGACAGATTTTTTTTTTTTTATTAGAGAATGCCAGCCAGGTGCTAGTGAAAAAAATGCAAAGAAGGGAAAAAAACTCCTGAAAAGTAGCTCCCAGTTGGTTTTCTGGAAGGGGATTCCCCTTCCAAACAATGACTCTCTCTCCACCCCTCCTCTCCACACCCGTGTCCACAGATCCAGATCCTCATCAATCTCAAGGTCTGGGCCATACTGCCGTTGTTAAAAACTTTTAAAATGTTGTGTATCTTATTTAAATTATATTATTTAACTCTGAAATTATTTGCTTTGAAATTTCTGTGTCATGTTTTGTATAAGGTTAGGGTAAAACGTGGTGGTCAAGAATGGATTCATCCGTTTTCGGCTATTTCTTATGGGAAACATTGATTCGGAAGGCGACTGCATCCCATCTAGACACTCCTTCTAGAATGGATTAGCATGGAGGTCTGGAGTTCTACTGTAGTCCACAGCTTACTGGACAGCACCACCTAGGAGGGTGAGAGCTTTCCCGGGCACAAGCTTTATTTAGTAACTGCATAGCCAAGGGGGTGGTCTTGTTTGAAAAGCAAAGCTATGGCAGGATCTTGTGTTGGACTCTGCGGGCCACACCTGGAGAAGGCCAACTTCACTGGCTGGTTCCATGCCCATTCAGTCCTCCACGATCCCAGGAGGAGTGCCGGCCTTTGTCTAGACCAGCGGTTCTCAACCTGGGGGTCGCGACCCCCTTGGGGGTCAAATGACCCTTTCACCGGAGTCATCTGGTTCATAACAGTAGCCAAATTACAGTTGTGAAGTAGCAACGAAAATAATTTTGTGGTTGGGGGGGTCACCACAATATGAGGAATTCTATTAAAGGGTCACAGCATGAGGAAGGTTGAGAACCACTGTTCTCTACTCTACCTACTCCCTACCCTAGAGGGGCCACCTCTACGCAGGAAACAGGCTCACGGAGATGAAACCTCTTGTCTAAGGTTCAACAGCTACTGATCAGAGGCATCTGCTTCAGAGGATCCAAAGGGACTTCCAGGGTGGCAGCCTCATCACGAGAGGGCAGTGTGCACACCGCAGGGCCCACCCTTAGTGATGTCAGGCCGCGCTCATTCCGGTCCACTTACCCAGGGCTTACTTCTGCCGGAACAGCGGGGCCTTTGCCACCCTCGGTGACATCTGTTCTCAGGCCTTCCTTCACTTACCTTAGGCCCTCACTTAGGACAGGGCCCTCCCACTGAAGACATTCAGGCCTTCTTGTAAGTCAGGCTTAGCGCTTCCACCGGGGGTCATTGTGTACATCGGGCCTTATGACAGGGTCCTGGCTTCTATAGGGCTGCACTTACGTTAGGGCCCTCTGTCTGGCAACAATGCAGTCTGGCTGGCCGCCACGGAACACCAAGTGGGCGTTGGACTGTACCCACAGCCAGCCGGCCTGCTTGGTCAGGAGTCGGAACACAGTGAGCCCACTCTCACCCGTTTGCATCTCTGGAGAGAGAGAGAGAGAGAGAGAGAGACTGGCACTAGCCCTGGCTGCCCACGTGTGCTTTCTGGAGCTAGTGCTTGCTGAGGAGGCAGGAGGCAGGTGAGGATCCCTGGGATGTGTCCCACCCTCTCCTCCACCATCCACAGGGTTGGACCCCGGCAGCACTTCCTGGACTCACACCGCAAGTGGTTCTCAGCACAGTACATCATGTCAGCTGCATGGACGAACTGGTACCCGGATCCGTTCCTGCAGAGCTCACTCTCCGTGTAGCCCAGGATCTCTCTGCCTCTGTGTGGAACAGACTGCACATCTTTATCCTGCAAATTCCCCCCCCACCTCGCCCAGTGAGACGCCTCAAGGAAATAAGAGCCACCCGTCTCCTTCACAGCTCACAGCTCTCCTTGAAACCTGCCTTTCAGTCTGGTGCCCACCCTGGAATATCAGCCAGGACTCAAGTGCCAAAAGGCTACCTTCTGAGCCTCCTGTGGACCCTCCCCCCCCAGGCCTGGAAGGAGCACCCCTCCTGCAGCCGGGCTAGGGTAAGCCTCGACAATGGAAGAATGGTGGCAACCTCCCAGCATCTCTACCACACACGTCATCCTCCCCAGTTCAGCCTTAAGGCTGTGCTTGGCTGAGCTGTAGGGCAGAGGTGTTTGTCTGAGGTCTAGAGACGCTGAACGTGTACACACACACACACACACACACACACACACAAGAGTGCGTGACGGATGAGGGGGCTTCTGAAAGTTCATGGAAAAATGGAATGAAAAGACCACGGCATTTTCCCACACACTTCTTGAGGTTCCCTTGCATTTGTAAGGAGAGAGTTCATCATTCTCAACCTCTGGGACCCCAGAGGCAAAGGACCAGTGCCTTCGAGGAAGAAGCAGAACTTAAAGGTCATAGTATTGATAATGCCCCGACGTACTCACTCTGAAAACAGCGTTTGATAGAGCGTGTCCCAATGTGAGGCCCTGATGCAGTAGCATAGCAATTGGGTATTCCACCAAGAAAGGGTCCACTGTCAAATAAGTTTGGGAACCGCTGAGTCAGACAACTAAGAACTTACTCCCAGCAGGAGACAAGTGTTTCCAGGATTTGCTGTCTGTATCCCACACTAAGTCAAGTCCCATCTTCCGGCATGGAAAGGTCAGTGTCTTACTTAGCACAGTGCCCCTTTAACCACATCATGATTTGTACCGGCTCATAGAACACATTAGGGCAGACTGGGCTGATTGTCCTTTTACAGCATTTGAGCCACAATGAGCTTTGGAAGCCCAGGCCTAGGCTCCCGGAAGTCATTATTTCTGGGGAGAGGCACATACCTGGAATCACAGGCTATAGGCGTGAAATCTAACTTGTGTTTTGTTTGGAAAAGAAATGGTTTCATTTGGAGCTCCAGGATGGTGAGAGGCTGGTGAGGCGTTGCAATGGCGAACAGGGTCAGCTGAGGGGACGCGAGGATGCCATCCTCTGACCTGCTGTTCTGCCCCGGGAGGAGTTTAAGATGGCCTTGGAAATCCAATTCCTGGAGAAAGAAGACCGTAGACATAAGGAGCCTAGCTCAAACAGCGGGGACACTATCTGGCTGGACATTGGCCTGGCAGGAGGTCCCTCCTGCTGCACAGTGTACACAGGCTGGGAGCCTCCTCACCCTCGCCTGTGGGTCGGAACCAGCAGGTTCTGACCAGTCTCTCGTGGTTGCTCAGGAGGTGTGACCCAGACAGTCCTTTCAGTTACATAGCTCAGCACTTCGTGAGTTGTAAGACCACCTAGCAATCCCAGGAATGAGTATGCCCTGTTTGATGATTCGAGGATGGTGAAAAAGATGGCTGTTAACACTCTAAATTCACTTCCATGTCACCCCCAATGTGTATTGTAAATCCTAATCTCCATGCCTGCTTATCCTGTTTATGTTAACTAGGCAGGTTGAGTGTAGGGTGTATATTTTGAGTGAATCTCTTTTAAGATATAAAAGAGGTAAGGTGTAGTTTTTAAGATAACAAGATATCAAAGAGAATGAACAAGCAAACAGAGTGGGGAGCGGGGC